TCTTCTTCTTTTTCTTCTTCTTCTTCTTCTCCAGATAATGATGAGCTACAGCCTCCAATAGCCTCATACAAGAGAGCTGACCAAGGGAAGCGACTATGGGTTAGCTGGAGAGTTCGTTGCTGACTGAAGACCACCATTTCGAAATCATTCACCTCGATTATTTCACCCGCCTTTTCACTGTGTGTGGCGTAAACTTTGATGGTAGGCCCTATGAGCGGAGTATATTTTATTGTCGTCCTTAGCCCCATTAGTAGAAGCCCAGGCTACTCTAGACACCAGTCTGCACTGATTCTCAGAGAAGTTAATTTTTGGTGTCTTTTTGTAGCAGAATCTCCACATAACTTGAACCCAGGCGTAAGGGAAGGATTGGGTGGAATAAAGGAGCAATCTCAGTCTCGAACGCCTAATTGGCATTTTCTCGGGTTGCTCCTAAATGCCCTATTAGGAGCTATAGTGCTCATCAGAAAGTATACAAACTACTCTAAAAAAACATAGTAGACTGGTAACGTATTCAAGTTCATGGTTTGGCCATGTAGCTTTCGACAGAATTCTTCTTCCAGGATCCGGCAACCCTTCACATTGAAGGTGGCTTTTCGGCGTTTGGTGTTGATCTCGTCGCTAGCACAAATGTCGACATCAGAATTGTTCCCGTTGAACTTGCTTTAATTGATTACGAAAAACGAAAAGCATTCGAGCTCTACGTTAGTAACTCCCTACCTTTCCTCTCCCTGAAAAAGGTTCTCACACAAATATTTTAAGGTGGCCTCACCAACTGGCCGATGTCAAATCAACGTCGAAGTTATAGACGTTAACGAAAACGTGCCGAAATGCCTTCATGATACCTTCACCTTCTACGTTACTGAGAATCACAAACCAGCTGTCCTCGGCGAGGTGTTGGTAAGCTGTCACAACATTTATGGGACGTTTCCCCGGAATCACCCCTAATTTTCATCCGAAAAAATCGGCCACAAATTAGAATAGCTGCCCCCTTAAAAACTAATACCTTAAAGCCTGGAGTTTGTGGTGAATTTGGAGCAAAAGCAAAACATGAATAAACATGTCTGTTAGGCAGCATTCAGACTTCGCGATGATGCGCGTCGCCGCGCTACTATCCATTTTAGTGGGGCTCCGATACTATAGACGAGAACCCAGCCAATGAAAGATATCGATCGGCGTAGCAGCTAGTGTTTCGGGAGAGTATAGAAGAACAATAGGGCACCAGACTGTGTGCTTACCGTCTCCTATACTCCCTCAAAACACGAGCGGTCAGTACCGACCGATACCCGTCTATGGTTGCATTCCCATCTATAGCGTTGGAGCGCTAGTGAGATGGTAGCGCCTTCGCAACGCGACGTATCGCGCACCATTACATGCAAACTCTGAACTCTGCCTAAAATAAATCCATTTCTGGGAACAGGTTATCAGAGGGTCTATCCAGAACTCGTTTTTGCTGGAGCGTGTTTGAATGTTCCCAGCTGCTTATCAACAATCTTTGGCTTTCACCCTTCCTGAGACTTTGATTGGACCCTTTTAAGCGTCAGACACATCATTATGGCACAGAAAACTTAAAGGCATAGAGAATCAATCAAGACTGTTCTCTTCTTTCGCTGTTACAATTTTTTTTTCTTTTTTATGTTCCGCAACCGGTCATTAGATATACTGAACAATGCAAGAGAAGGGAAAACTTCTTCCGCAAAGACGATGCCCACAAGGCACATA